AAAACATATAAAAAAAAATTCAAGACTCCCAGAGATTAGAGATTTCCTTCAGAAGATCAATTCAAATGGCATATTGATTTAATTAATTCTATAAAATCAAAGCACACACAATCAGGACAGATAAAATCCTGAACCTTTTGGTGACTGGCCTGTAGTGAATCTACTGCTTCTTTTTCCAAAGGGCTGGGTAACTCTGCCCTTCATCACAGCATGACTGGCCCCTGGTGGTGGTGGAGTGAATAGACCCATCATTCTAACTAGAACCAGATAGCCGGCTGTCTCACCTCCTTTCTGTAATTTTCAGATCTCACTACTTTGGGATAAATGTTAATTTTTATTTTAATCACAGGAACTATCCGCTAAAGAAATTGACAATGTACATACAGGTTTTTCTTTTAAACTTAGGGCAGCTTTTCTGGAATGACTTTTTTGGTCACAAGCCAAAAAAATTCTGAGATAAAAAATTCTGAGATAAAAATTTCCTGCAGAAATCAGCACGGTACTAGCCAGATTGTAAAGCTTCCAATAAACACATGAACTAAAAATTTTAACTTACAGGTAGTAAGATAATGTAGCAAAATATCAAGTCTGATTCAGATATTCTCATTATTTTTTCAAACTGGGTAAATGAGTAGAACCTTTGCAAATGCACATCCTTTCATGATTCTTCAACATGGATGGAGCTAGAAGGAATTACGCTCAGTGAAATAAGCCAGAAGGAAAAAGAAAAGTATCAAATGGTTTCACGTATAGCAGGAATATAGGGGAACCAAATAAGACATCTGTGTAAAAAAAAAAAAAAAAAGTAACCGTACAAAACACAACAAAACAAAAACAGACAATTATAAATCAGAGACATCCTGTAGGGGAGGAGGAGGGAGAGGGATCAGAGGGAGGGAGGAGCACAGGGGACTGAGGTGAGGGTGCACGGGTGCATTGGTAAAGGAAACTCAATGGGGACTACACCTGAGGGGGTGGGGTGAAGCAAATATTGTTTAAAAATGAACGATGATGTAAAAAACAAAAAAAATTAAAGAAAATAAAAACCTCACCTTCAAATAAAAATCTGGAGTGCCTAGAAAAAAATTCTCTAAAAAATTTTTTCTGTAGGTCATAAAATGTGACTTATAGTCCCTGTACAGAAATACTTTTTACATTTTATTCCTAAAAATATTATGAATAATGTAAAAAAGTCACCAAGTGCAGCCACCCACACTGCAGACAGTTTACATGATGTAAGTTTTAAATCTGGTTACGTGGGACTACCTCTAGAGATCTAGTACTTTCCTTATATGGAAAAAAACAAAGCATCGATTTTTTCAAGGATTTTGCTAGTGCTTTTTGATGGACTCTTTTTTTTATACAATTAGAATTTGTTTCTGACCAGCTACCCTGTTGATGAAAACTTGAGCTAAAGCTCTCCCCACTCTAGTGAAGCCATCTGGCCTATGTTTTAACTCCCAGACATCCTGTAAAATACCACACTAAACAACCATTTCATTCTTAGATACTTGTAATTTTAGTTTCCCCCCAAAAAAACATTAATAATGGTAATTGGAGTAAAAAATACAATGCTAAAATAAAATGTTACGTGCAAATTGCTACCTGCAGGTTAACTGAACTGGCCATCTCACAAAGATCACTCTCAAACTCTGAGCTGGGTTAATTTTAGTGGAAATTATAAAATCTAATCTAACCAGACTATCTGACAATTTTCTCTCATTCCCATATAAAATCCAGTTTGTATTTCTGAGCACAAAAATCAAAAACAGTGATATATGCTTACGTGTGCATATAATCTTAAGACAAGACATCTGAGATTTTATTCCTAATACTTATATATATAAATTTTGAAGGCTTAGAGGAAACTATCATAAATCTAAAAAGTGTCTAGCATGGATCAATTGCTTATCTGAATGCCAACTAAAACTCTGAATGGGCCTCTCTGGTGGCACCAGGAGGTTAAGACGCAACCTATGATCTGTCAGCATCCTCTGCAGCGCAAGTTCGATTCCCGGCCAGCCAGGGAGCAACCCACATGGCACAGCAGACCTCTCCTGACTTGCCCGTTGCTTCCCTCAGCAGTGTATTTCGGTCAACCTGCCACTCTGTCTCTGGTGAATCCGCTCACCCCCCATACCTCTGGCCTGTACCCCAGTTCTTGTATGCATAAATACAGAAATCTTTTTTAAAAAAAACTCTGAAACTGACATCATGACCACTTAAGGTCTATTATGTGCATTTATTTGGCATTTATCAATGAACTAGTTGTTGTGAACATCTTTTATACCAGAGCAACCTAAAAAGGGGAGGTTCCATGCTCCCTGCCCCATCCAGTGAAGGGTGGAGATGGCAGAGGTAGGCTGGAAATCCTAGAAAGGACTAGGGAGAGAAGACTTGGAGGAGGCTTATGGAGTAGAGACATGTGAAGCAGCAGCTATGCTTGCTTGGATTTGTACTAAGCCTTGGATTTGTACCAAGGACTTGGAGGACATGGAAGGAGACACTTGAAAGAGACATGGTTAAGAGACCCATGGAGAAACTGATAATGGCAGCCTTTATTTTGACTTGTACTTTTTGTTCCTTTACCTTCCAGATTTGCCTGGTCCCTTCTGTCCCTTTCCGGTAATTTCCCACCAGAAGATGCCTTAGACTTGTGGCAAGCTTTTGGGCCTCAGTGGTCCCGCTTTGGGCCAACACTGCTGGCTGGGCATTTACCTACGAGGGAATGGGGTGGGGCAACTGGGTGTTTATGAGGAAACTATTATCCTTTCTTCTTTTTCTGTGCACACTAAGTCTAATAAAGTTCTTTTCTATTAAAGGCCTTACACACTAGAGTATGCTTTGTCTCTAAAGATTTATTTTATTGATGCATACAAGAGCTGGAGTGTAGGCCAGAGCTGCGGGGGCCTAGAGGATTCACCAGAGACAGAGTGAGGAGCAGAACAGGCTGATTGAAACACACTGCTGAGGGGAGCAGTGGGGCTAGACAGAAGAGGTCTGCTGTGCCATGTGGGTTAGCCCCCTGGCCAGGGATGGAACTTGTGCTACAATGGCTGCCATTAGCTTCATAGTGCTGAGACTTAACCCCTTATGCGGCAAAGGCAGAATCTAGTTAGAGCAGGCAGGTTTGGAGGTCCCAGGGAACCCTTCATTCTGCCCACTAACATTTTCCCAGAATGTTCATTTCTATCTTGGATGTTAAAGGCAGAGATTCTGCCTTTTTATTAGCTATACTCAGTACCATCCACAGTAAATTCCAATATATTCTGGAACAATAAACAATGAATACAAACTGATGAAGGTTTAGAATAGAAAATTTGGGATGGAGGCATCACAAGACCAGAAACTGGAAGTGGGGGTAGAAATTAAAATAGTTGTTAAACCAGCTATAGAAATAAAAAATCCTTAGGTGCAGACTGCTCTAGAAAATGTCCCTAGGGGCACAAGAGGTGGGGATATGGAGATTGAGGGTCATTAGAGAATCACTGGTCCTTACAAATTAACCCAGTCACACCTTGAAAACGATTGATTTAATAACAGGTAACAATTTCACAAAGGAATAAACCCCTCCCCCAAAGGAACACTGTATTAGAACAATTCAACACCACCTTCTACAATCTCTGTTAACTTACCTCTTTTAGAGGCAACTCTTTCCGCCCTCTTCAGTCTATGCAAGAATCTTCTTCCCTTTCTAATAAACCTGCTCTTTTGGATATAATCAAACATCTGTCTCCTTTGAAAACCTGATGTGTTCCACTGAAAGGGGAACTTTGCCCTTTCTCGGAAGTAACCCGAGGACTCCACCCACTGAGCCCTACATCTCATCAGAATGACATCACACACTACTAGATTATCTGGGCCTTAACCGAGTCCCTAAATCCTAGACCAGAGGAGGGTAAACCCATGAAAGAACATGAACGACACCAAGGACTTACTGTTGAATGTTGCCGAGAAATCAACCTGTCAAATTTCAAAGATTGGAGACTGGCTTTATTTTTCAGGGAGAATTGGTTGCCCCACTGCAATTTCCTAATACAAAATTTCCTAAAAGCTTGAAACTTCTCTTTGGGCTATTTTTTTGGGATTGTACTAAATCAAAGAGAACAATCAAATTTATGATTTGGTATAGGAGATAGCCCGGCAGCACTTCATCAATACTGTCTGTAGGTCCTCCTTGGTAGCACAATAGCACTATGAAGCTATTGCCAGCCACTGCAGCATGAGTTCAATCCCTGGCCAGGGTACTAACCCTCACAGTGCAGCAGACCTCTCCTGTCTCGCCCGCTGAGCCCCTCAGCAGTGCAGATCCACCTGTTCTGCTCCCCATTTTGTCTCCAGTGAGTCTTCTCATTCCCCATCTGGCTGGCCGCACAGCTGACTTACACCCCAGTTCTTGTAATCATAAACCTTAAAATTACTGTAATTCTATTTTAAATAAAATTAGAGTAAGATAATAAAAAAGAAGCAGAAGATCAGTCTTTAGTGGTTTTAATGCATGTGTCCTTTTTCTCTGACAAGCCAACTAAGAAAAAGGCAAAGGCATGTTAAGATTTTATCCTCCTTGTGTAGGGAAGAAAGTTACAGTGAAGAGGATCATAAGAGCTGGACACCAGACACATTTGTTTCCATATGGACACTGTGCTACTATTGAAAAATCAGTTGTCCTGGGAACTTCAGAATGAGTACTATAAAGCATAATGCAGGGATAATCTGTTTTGAATCTGTTTCAACTTGCTTCCATTTAAAAACTAATTAAAATGTTCTATGCTTAACTGATTTAAACTAATTTGTTTTCTAATGGAAGAGATGCATAGAAAGGTGAATTTAAAAATACACTGAACAATATTTTAAGAATATATGTCTACAATATGGCATCAGAGCTAGCAGATGCTGCTTTAAGAATAGCAAAATTCCAAACTCTAAAATCTTCATTTTTCTTCTTTAACAAATTTTGATGCACTTTTGTTCTTACACAAATGTGAAATGCTACATATTAAAACGTTTCAATCCTGATGAGTATTAAACATTTTATTTAAAGATTTTAAAGTAAAAAAAAAAAAAACAAAACAAAACCAGGTACACAAAAACATTGTATTATAACCATGGTGGTATTTCTACATGACAAAAATCAAAGCAAAACAAAATTTTAAAAGTAAATGTACAGGTACTAAATAAGCATAATACCTGATAGCCAATTCAGGCTGCATTTACATACAATGATCTGACTACATGTTTATGCAAAGTAACCATTCTGTCAACTGCCTTATCCCCTGGCGAGTATTTTTAGAGAATTTTTACATAATATAAAAAGACTTGATATGGCACTTAAAAACTACAAAAAACAGAACACAAAAACACATTTGTAATCCAATTCTATATAAAACATATACAGTAAATTTACTACCTTAAAAAAAGATTTAAAAACAAAGACTCCTTGAATAGTGGCTAAAACCTCATCGTAGAAAAATGCTCAACATTTCTAACATTACCGGTAGCAAATTGATGGACTTCTTGTTCTGATTGAATTTTTGGAGAACATGTCTAACTTAAAGCAATTCATTCAAAATTTATGTTAAAATTTGTAGATGACAGTAACTCACTGCCTACCCCATCTCAAAATATTTAATCATGAATACTCTTGAATATTTAACAAAATAAAATACTGGACAAAATAAGAGTAACTTTAACAAAGTGTTTCTTAAAATAAGGTCTTGTAACTGGGTGGGCCCAGTAAATGTGCATTTTAAACAAACTTGCTCTGTGGTTATTTCCTATTCTAAAATTTGAGAACTAATGTCTTAGGGAAACAGCACCACTTGAAAGCAAGATCATAAATATATTCCTGATATAGATATCAGAGTTTTCTACAAGTTTATGACTTGAAGTGAATACTGATTTTTGTTTTAAAAGAAACGTCAGGTATTAAGAGAAACATGTATCTCTTCAACATGTGAATATATTCAAACATTTTCCACTGAGGTTTTCATAGCTTTCAGACTTAGATAGATGAGGAAAAGAGTATATGGCCAGAAACTTTGGAAAAACTACATTTCTAATGAAATGTAGTATCCTTTAAAAAAGAAAAATTATAAAATGCCTATAAATTTTAAAACATCTTAAATTTAAGACTAAATAGTTTCCTAAAATTGAAATTTTATGAAGATTGGATAATTGTGAGTAATTTAAATGATCATGGTTAAGTTCTTTCTTATAAAAAAATATTTTAAAAAGGATGCTATCTCTGATATCTTTAAATAATAAACATTGCTAAACATTAATATTAATAAAAATAATATGAAGAACTCTGCCCCTGAAATGTATTCCATTCTGTATTACATGTTACGTACTTAAAAACTCACATAAGGAGCTAAAACTGTGATGTGTATGAGAACATGTGTGTGTCCTGAACATTTATTCATTTTTATTATTTTTCTTGGACTTCATTTAACAACCTACAAACTAGGTCCAAAAAACATGGATAACATGGCTTTGGGATAGAAATGAGTTTAATTAAGACACTATTTGGAAGATAAATTATTTTCTCAAAACTAAATTTTAAGGAAAAAAATAGTATACATTTTGTCTCCACTGGATAATTGGAATGAGCTTACAAGTTTGAAAACAAGTAAATGCTTCCTTATTATTTAAGTCAAATCGCAAAAAGCAACTGTGGAGTTTCCATTTGAGGAAATAAATATTACCATTTCATTTTTCTGTGTCTATTTCAAATTTCTATTTTTTCCTTTCTATCTACTGAGAAATATTCCATTCAACTGCATCCTGGGTTCTCTAAACTACAAACACCCTAGTTAAAGTTCTGGCTGAAGGGACAAACTCAGAAGCTAACCCTTTAATATACGCATAAATCACATCAGTTTTTCAAAAACAGCTGATGATGAAAGCAATTTAAACAAACAAACAAACAAACAAAAACCTGTGTTTTCCCTCAAAGGGAATCTGTATTTCTTCATTCTAAGCAAACAACACCTTTTAGTACCAATTGGTTTAATAACTGTTGTCTTAACCATTAATTTAACGATTCAAGACAATAAAATTATTATTGCTGAATTTTTAAACACAAAGAACTCAAACTATAGGTGATAAGACAAGTTGTTATATTTTGAGTTAACCTTTTATTCCAAAAGTAAAAGCCAATTAAATGACTTAATTTACTTAAATGACTTAACAAAGAATAACAAAAATCATGAGGTTTATGATGTAATCCCACTTAAAGCAACAGATACCCTTTTTTAAGCAGTGGTAAGAATTTCTTTTAAAGAGACACTTTCGTTACTCATCAGTAGGCTGCTAGATTACCAGTGTAACTATTTTTTGACACAGTTGTCTGGAAACTAGTTTCAACTTTTTTTATAGTTAAATGCAAATGTAATAACTGACTCATTTAGTTAACAACAGAAGATAATAATGAGCGTTTTTTGGTTGATGGCAAATATAAAATGGTTCACTGTATCCAGGCTGGAAACTTTATCCATGCATTAAAGAGCAACACAGCAAAATGCAAAGTTGAGAAATGAGGATCAAACACATTCTTCTGCAGACATCAAAAGAGGATTGATATACTCAAAACCTTCAAATTCAGACTGATCAATCTTCCTCACAATGTCACTGTTGGAAAAAAAATAAATTAATTTTCATAATCCAGATTTCTTCAACTTTTAATTAAAATGGCAAAATAAGATTAAAAAAATTTGTATAAATTATGGGGAGAAAAAAATCAAGTTTTTAAGATTAATCCAAGACATTTTCTAAAAGAATCAAGAGTACTAGGGCTTCCCCGGTGGCGCAGCGGTTGAGCGCTGGGTTGCAAAGCTGCCCGCGGCCTCTGCGGCGCCGGTTCCATCCCCGGCTGCTCCCCGGCCACCGGAGGAGGGTCCCACATGGCGCACAGACCTCTCCTGCCGCCCCCTGCTCCCCTCAGCAGTGTATTTCGGTCCTTCTGCCTGCTCTGCTCCCTGCTCTGGCTCTGGTGAATTCTCTCACCCTCCCGCGCTTCTGACTGTATACCCAGTGCTTGTATAAATAAATAAAAATAAATCTTAAAAAATGTGTGGACATTACCCTTTTTAAAAAAAAAAAAAAAAAAAAAAAAAAAAAAAAAGAGTACTAAATACTAAAAATCAATAAAGACTAATAATCCCACAGCAGGTTTAGAGTCAAAAGGTAGTCTAAAGTGAAGACTGGGACTAAAAAGGGCACAAATTATCACATTCTGTTTAATCTTAACTAGGGTTTTGATCAGAGTAACATCCTAATTACAGGTGACATCCAGGTCTGAATTAGCATTCAATTTAGTAGTCACCTCACTGGCCAGACAGAAGATGGTGAGAAGGCCCAGAAGTTCCCCAAAAGGAAAAGGCAACAGGAACCAGTACACTGAAAGACCTGAAATAAATCCCTGGACTGCCAGGAGGTAATGAGTCGTGGAACAGAGATGTTGACATTCTGTTACACTGAGCTTCTAGTTTAATATGCAAAGGAGTACTATCAAATATTTTAATGTTTAAATGCACACAGCATACTGCAGAAGACAAAGTTACACATCTACAGTCCCTTCCTTCAAGGAGGGAAGGTACCTTATATAACAACGAGAAAGCAGTACCTACTAGTTTCAACCAGGACAAGCTAAGTCCTTTCTAACCATAGTTCTAAAGAAAAGGACTTCTTGGAGAAATCCAGAAAGGAAGCACTCATTCCACAAAGACTGAATGGAATTATGAAATTATAGTAAGTCTGGGGAAATAAAAGTGATTTATTATGGCTGGAGCATAGGAATAGAAGGATATTAATGGCAGATGAAGTTGGAAGGGAAATGATGACTCAAAGTCAGTGATGTTTACATTGAGAAGGTTCATCTTGATCTATCAAAAATCTGCTTGTGTGTGAGGTAACTCTGAAAGGCGGAAAAGGTTTAAACAGGTAAAAATGAAGGAGGAAGACAGAGGAAATGGCACTAGCAAAGGTACCAGCACATTACTGGTCAGTGTGGGAATGGTGAGTGAGACTGATCAGAACTCAGCTTTTATGCAGAACATAGTGAGACATGGATAGAAAATCAGGGTTGGAGGAGACAATTAGGAGCCTTACATATTTTATCTGCTCAGCAATGTAGGAGTTATTGAAGATTTCTGATGGAAGGAGCTAAAGGATTGGGGTAGTACTTGATGAGGTGTACCGAATGGACTACAGTGTAAAGGACAAGACCAATTAGTAAGATGGTAAAATATTCTAGGTGTGACTTGAAAGACATCTGAACCGGCAATGGGAACAGAAAAAAAGGATCTGATACAAGTGATAAAGGAAAAATAGGCAAGGACTTGGCAGATGAAGGTATTACATAGTCTGTTACTGAAAAGAAGTCAACAATCACATTTTGAATCTGGATGCAGGAATAAAAGGTGGTGCAATGTGCAGGAAAAGGTAAATAAAAAACCAAGAAACTGAGAACAATAAAAAAAGAGACCACAAAAGGTCATTACTTCAATTTTAGACTTCGTATGTTTGAGATGCTTGTCTATATAAACTAAGGGAGAAATTAAATAAGCAGATGGAAATGCAGCCTAGGGAGAGATCAGGGCAGGGACTAAGCACCCTAGAAATTACTGCTCACTTATTCTTCATAGCAACCTTGTGAAGCGGACAACTGAGCAAAAGGCTCAGAGAATAAATGATACTGTCAGAAACAATGATTAGCTAGTAAGTGTTGTGTGACTGACTTACATCTTGATCATCTTTGAATGTCTAGGACTTAGCGTAGTGCCTTTTTCTTTATAACTGCTTGCCAATTTAGCTAAGCGTCATTTAAATAGATGGTATCCATGCTATAGGGCTGGCTAAATCCCCAAGGTACAAACGAGTTATACAGCAAAGAGAAAGATGTCATAAACAGAATCATGGAACATCCTATTCTCAAGGGGGTTAGGGGAAGAAATGACAAGTGGATACAGAGATGAAGCAGAACCAGGATGGGGAGGCCAACCAATACAAGGCCATGAGTGCCAAATGTTGTACAGTCATCAGGGGAAAAGGGTACCGATCAAAAAATGTTTTAAAATTTAGAAATTAGGAAATCAATTCAACCTTTGAAAGCTGCAGAAGCAGGGTAAGCTGCAAGGGGTAAAGTGCTGGTAATTAGTCAAAGACTATCAATATTGACTAGTCTGGAGGAGCTGGATAAAAATACTGCTTATTTTTCTTTTACGATGAGCATTTATTATTTTTTAAAAAGCTTGATGATGAAAATAAAGTGAGAAAAAAAATGTAGTGGTTCAAAGTACTAAGGTTCAGGGAGGGAATTAGAATATCTGAGCATGTTTGCAAAAAGAGGGAAATAAGCTGAAAAAGAAATAGGAAAGAAACTGGAGTAATAAGATAACTGAAAAATGAAATCCTAGAGGAAACTAAGGGAACTTAGGTAAATAGGAAAGCACCCCCTCCAAAAGTGGGATAGCCTCCCAAGAATAATGAAGAAAAAATGGTTGAGGAGAATTAGAGAGCAATTCTGAGATGCAAGGTGACCTGGTGACAACTGAAAAGGGAGTAAATCCATACCAGGGATGTCTCAATCCTTGCTGTCCAGTTCAGGCAAGGCTAATCCATTAAGAGTAACAGAGGCAGGGGTAGGACTAAAGGTTTATGAAACGTAGAGACAGTTTGGAATAGCTGCTGTGAAGATTGTGATAAGAATTAACAAGATAGAAGTAAAATGAATAAACAGTAAAGGTCTCCTTGAAATTAAAGAATGAATTGTAATGACAGGAAAATGATCAACATTATTCTAAATCATATCTTACAAGAAGCAACATAAATACAAAACAGCATGTCTGATCACTGCTATAGCTAGACTTGATAAGTTGATGTGATCTGAAAAATCAATTGGCAACATATATCAAGAACTTTAAAAAATTTCATATCCTTTGTCAGACAAAACCAAACCAGTAACAAACCCTAGAAAGCTGCCTGTAGTATTGAGGCTCCCAGAAATGGATGGGAAGAGGAAGTGCCAGTGGGGAGGGGGGTCCAATGGCCTATGCTAGAGGGCATCCTGGTGGTGGGTGTGGTAACATACATCTGAATGAGTGATGCTATTCCTCTAAATCATATGCAGTGCTGTAAAACTGTTACTTTCATCAAATTTTCAAGCCCTTTGACCTAGTTCCCTTTCTAGGAATCTGTCTTCAGGTAATACCCAGAAAGTCAGACAAAGATGGCCATCATCAAAATGGAAAACAATTGGAAAAACAGTGGAAAAACAATTGGAAAAAAAAACAACTAGAAAACAACTGGAAAAACAGTGGAAAAACAGTGGAAAAAGCACAAGCCTTAGTCATTCTGGGTTTGAAACCTGGCTCTGCCACCTGATAGCTGTGTAACTACTTAACCTCTCTCTGAGACTCAGTTTTCTCATCTGTAATATGAAGAGGATAATTGGATTTACAAGGCTGTTGCGAGAAAAAGAGTAATGCAAGCAAAGTAAAGTAGAAACTGGCAGCTATTATAATTTATTATAGTATAATGGATACAAATATCCTGTAACTGAGTAGTCAAATAAACTATGGAAACACTGCTTGGCCACTAAAAATGGGTCTTTCAAAGAACTTTTAAAAATATTTGTCTATAGAACTACTTACTCATCATCTGGAGTGAGCTGGACAGGTTCATTAGTAAACTGAGAATCAAAGTTGTCCAAACCAAATTCCCCAGAAATATTTGGTTTAAAGGGAGGTACCACCTGCTTTTGCTCCATCTAGAAAGAGATATTGGATGACAGTTCAAGCCTGTATTCTTAGAAAACTTCCACCTCTACATTTTTTTCCTGCCTTCAAATGTTTCCCATCATATTAAAGTGAGTCTCTATGGTCCCACAGTATCCACAATGATCAAAATATTTTACAAGCCTCAACACTAATACAGGTCTCAATAATATTATAACCAGTTCCACTAAATTAATAATTCTAGGCTTTTATTGTCTTAAAAGCTTTTTTAAAAAAGCACACTAGAAAATGGGCTTTAAGTTATTTTAATTTGTATATAACAATTTTTCAACATTCTTTTACGATAATAAAATTTGGCCCCAGAAAATAATAAAATCTAGTAATACAGAAAAGAGTCAAAATTTACATACCATATCCCAATCAACATTTCGGAAAAATGGGTGTCCCTGAATATCAGCAAATCCTGTTTGAGGATGACAACCCAACCGTTCCTTTGGGTCCTATAAGTGGAAAGAAATGTTTCAAGAATTGCGTGAATATCATGCTTAGAAAAACCACCTTTGTAATCTATGTTTCAAGTCCATTATATAACACCTTTATGTCTGAAATCAGAATGGTCTACCTTTTCTTACTAGAAAGTTTAATACTAGACTCAGATGATTATCTGGAGTTTGTGACAAGTAAGACTTCCTCATGGCTCTCTATCTACCAGAATAATCATCACTCCTTGCTAAAGAAAAATGGAAGGAAAAAGAGTAGCAAAATCATTTGACAGCACCCAGCTATTTCTTTGGCATAGGTTACAGTAAGAGTCAAAATATGCAAAACCCCAAACTTCAACATATGCTTGTTCTTAGCTCAAATTAAAAGCTTATGCCCTAAGGCCTCCCCGGTGGCACAGTGGTTGAGCACTGGGTTGCGAAGCTGCCCACAGCCTCTGCAGCAGGGGTTTGATCCCCGGCCACCAGGTGAGGGTCCCACATGGCGCGCAGACCTCTCCTGCTGCCCGCTGCTCCCCTCAGCAGTGTACTTCGTCAGTCTTCCTGTTCTGCTCTCCGCTCTGACTCTGGTGAATTCTGTCACCCTCCCGCATCTCTGACTGTACCCAGTGCTTGCATAAATAAATAAATTAAAAAAAAAAAAGCTTATGCCCTATTACAGCAACAACCTATGTACAATAATGATACAATCCATTATTATCTGAATATAATGGACTAGGAAGGGGTCTACAACCTATTAAAAAGCCTTGGCTATTCATTACTGGGAATGAGAACATGTCCCCATTTTTCTTTCCAATAAAAGGCATTTTAGGGGCCTCCCTGGCGGTGCAAGGGGTTAAGCACCTCACTCTGAAGCAATACGCAGCCTCTGCAGCACAAGAGTTCGATCCCGGGCCAGCCAGGGAGCAACCCACATGGCGAAGCAGACCTCTCTTGCTTCGCCCACTGCTCCCTTCAGCAGTGTATTTTAGTCAGTCTGCCTGTTTTGTTCCCCGGTCTGTCTCTGGTGAATCCTTTTACCCACCCACCCCCGCCCCCTCCCCGCCCCCGCAACTCTGGCCTGTGTCTAGCTCTTGTATGCATAAATAAATCTTTTTTTTAAAAAAGGCATTTTATTTTTGCATATTAACACCTCTCATCTTTATTTTTCACTGTATTAAAGCTTAGGCTTCCCATTTAAATCTTTTTTTTTTTTTTAAGACTTATTTATTTATTTATACAAGCACTGGGTACAGTCAGAAGCGCGGAAGGGTGAGAGAATTCACCAGAGCCAGAGCACAGCAGGCAGAAGGACCGAAGTACACTGCTGAGGGGAGCAGCGGGCAGCAGGAGAGGTCTGCGCGCCATGTAGGACCCTCCTCTGGTGGCCGGGGAGCAGCCGGGGATCGAACCAGCGCTGCAGAGGCTGCAGGCAGCTTCGCAACCCAGCGCTCAACCACTGCGCCACTGGGGAGGCCCCTACCATTTATTTTAAAGTAAAATTTATAATTGCCGAGACCACTGTGAAGCAGTAAGATTTATGTGTTTTGTTTAGCCCTGACACTGAGCTTCAAAATTCTTTGTAATTTACTGATTGGAGTGTCTTCTGTTACTCATAAAAAGTCCCTTTCAAACACACCTGAGTTTATGCTAACAAATGGCTCTTGATGAGCCTCCTGATCGCTTCAGGTTGGGGATGGGTTACCAAGGGAACCAACCATATGATTAGAGGGTTGGAACTTTCATGTTCATTTCCAGAGGTGCTGGAAATTGGGCTCAATTATCAGTGGCCAATGATTTAATCAATCATGCTGTATAATAAAGCCTGCATAAAAACCTCTAAACCACAGGGTTAAGAGAGCTTCTGGATTTGCAAACATATCCAAGTGACAAGAGGGTGTGCTACCCCAACTCCACAGGCACAGAAGCTCCTGTGCTCAGGACCCTTATGGACTTTACCCTACGTACCTCTTCATCTGGCTGTTTATTTGTGATCTTTATAACAAACTGGTGACAGCAAATAAGAGTGTTTTCCTGAGCTCTGCAAACCGTTATAGCAAATCATGGAAGCTGGGTGTATGTGGGAACCCCTGATTTTGTAGCCAAGTCAGACAGAAGTGTGGGGTATCTGAACTAAGAATGGTCTTCTGGTACTGTGCTTTTAAACCTAAAACCTGTGCTTTTAAACCTGGTGCTAATTATGGGTAGTTATTATCAGAAATAAACTGTAGCACACTCAGTTGGTATCCAGATAGTTGGAGAGCTGGCGTTAGAAGTGTGATGAGTAAAAACAGTTCAGAATGATCGCAGATACTAAAAGCTCTTCTAACCTATCAGCTACATCAAACAATTGCATGGTATTCAGAATTTTTAAAAGCCAATAACACATTTCATTTCTTCTGAATTTTATCTAATTTTAGGATTTTAGACATGAGAATTTGTAGGGAATGCTATAGCCCCAAATGCTCAGTAAGTAAAGAAATTCTGTATACACTAATCCAACTGAAAACTAGAGCTGAAAGTACAACTGAGGATCCTCACAAAGATTCAATTTTCCCCTAATTGAATACATGGTATAGACCACCATTTACATTAAAAACACCACATGCAATATATAGCTGGAGGTAAATTATATTGGCAAAATGGAAAGGAAAACTTATAATAAGGAAAACTTGTAAAACTAATGCTTTGAAATTGCTCTTTGGTAAAGAGGCAAATTCTAGACATAATAGAAAAAGTTATACGCTGCTATTCTAGAATTTAATTGTACTTTGCCTGAACCTCCACTTATACAGAGATAACCCACTAAAGATTTTGTACATGATTTATACCTTGTTGAGAAAACTCTTCAGGACACTTGCAGCTTTTACAGACAGTGAACGTGGTATGCGAATTTGTTTTTCCAAAATAACTAGAAAGATAAAATTGATGGCATTATATTTAACTTTCACATGGCTTTAGTCTAAGTTTTATAATGAGATATTTAAGACATTCTAGTAGAAAAATTGAGGCATTATATAGACTATCTAACAGCTGTGTACTTTCCCCATCCCATTCTCAGTCTTGAACAGCAACACTGTTTTTATCATTTATATACATGTTCTATTTTTTGACTACCTTATTGTTCCTCAGTTTCCCTATCTGTAAAATTGGAATAAAAATAATACCTGTTTCAAGAGATAGGTTTAGAGGAGTTAGTATTTACAAAATGCTTGGCACATACTGCATATAGTATTATATTCTATTTCAACGAACACTGCTACATTACTCCCCAAAGATGTGTCTGTTTTCATTTCCACCAGCAGACTAGAAGAGTTCAGCTGCTCCACGTCCTCACCAGCACTGCTATTATCAGACTTTAAATCTTTTGCCAAATGAATGCCTATAACATAGCAGCTCATTAATGTTTTAATGTGTATACCACTCCTAATTACTAGTGAGGCTGAATGTCTTTCCATATATTCCAGGACCCTGGAATTTTTATTTGTCCTATTATATGAAATCTCTACTTAGTTCCTGTGACGGTTTTAAGTATTAAATGGCATTAAGGCAGAATTTTATGGCAGCCTTCACACTTCTTTGACTATATACTGGGTTTTGGACTGTGCTTGTTTCTTTTTTCCATTCAATTCTTTGTATTGCAACCATGGAGCCTCTTTTTTCACCCTTTGATCCCTCTTATCTTCTTGGTACTCTATTTTCCCCCCTACATTGCTTTGGACCACATTGTTCTATGAACTCAATCTCTGGGTCCAGGTGAAAAGACTTTGTCCTCTCTCACCACAAGATTTCTTCTTCCAACCTCTACTGATATACAAACTGAAAGAACCTCTTTGTTAGTTTTTGAGTAGGAGAAGGGAACTGACAAATGAGACCGAAGACTACAGAGGTAGGAAGGATGTACCTAAATAAATAAATAAGTAAAAATCAAAGCCTCAAATTAAGTAAGAACTGTATGGTCCAGATTATTTTTGTTCTTACTCAAAGCATTAACCTGAGGTGCTCGTCTGTGCTCTAGAATGGGTTATTCACAGAAAATTGCTATAAAGTAGCACAAATTACCTTGGAAGAGATAATCCTCTGTGTTTTGATCAGGATTATCAGAGCTCCCAACAATATCAAATGGAGACCTTCCTGCCATCATCTCAAACATTAGTACTCCAAGAGCCCACCAGTCAACACTGAAACCTTTAGAAAAGAAATTTTAGATCAACAGATTATCTACTCTGCATTCTTGAAAGTCAGTTAATTTGAGATGCATGCATAACACAATGAAAAAATAAATGTAATGAAAAAGTAACATCTACATAAATGCATTATAACTATCATGGTAGACAGGCATGGAGGATTACAGAACAGCTATCAATGGGGGGTTGGGGTAGTGATGTGCGTAAGACGGAGTACCTAAAAGAAATTTTAAAAAGAAAATACAGGAAATGAAACACAAGTTTCTTTTTCCCAAATATGAGGGTAATTTCATGCCCTATATCTAATATTTTGTTTTGAGGTGAGAATTATATTAAATTTGGAATATTCATCCTTATTCTGAAGCTTGATCTGCCAGCTGATTAAAAACCCATGAAGGACCTTGGAGTTGGACTGTGAGCAGCTGTCAGAAGTTCCCCTTCTCCTTTACATCTGTTGAATGCAAAGGACCACAACCCAAATGTCTTTGTAGGTAAATCCTCTGGACATTGATAAACAACCACTCTTTCCATAATCTTTCAGACTTTTTGAAGAAATATCCCAGGTCATTTGAAAAATCTTCCAAAGGTTCATGATTCCAGAGTCAAAAAGCTGAAATTTAAATCTCTGCCACTTGCCTGCTCTATGAATTTGGGCAAGTTATTTAGACTTTCTATACCTCACTTTCCTCATCTGTAAAATGGGAATTAACAGTGCTTACCTTATAGGACTGTTGAGAGGATTAACTTAGTTAACATATGTAAACTGCTTATAATAGTGCCTGAAATACTTTAGTGGTTGCTAATAATAAAATATTATTCAAACTGTACCCTCCCTCTGCCACCATTATGCCAAGGTACCACTGTTTTCAATTTCAGTATTTAGGGTCTTCATGTAGGTTTTAAGGGGAACAAAAAAGGCTTAATTAATGAAACCAATACATGCTGCAATGTAACTGTTACCACATTTACCCACCCTTCTAGCACATAGAGAGAATACCATCTATTAATTTATTACCATAGTCTTCTCCTCTTAAAATTTCTGGAGCAATGTAATTGGGAGTACCACAGAAAGTGCTGGTTGTATCTCCTGGCCGTAATCCTTCCTTTATTAAAAAAAGAAAATAAGAAATAATTTCCAAAATTCTGGTTAAATTTACCTCTTTTATTTCCTCTATCATTAGGTTCAGCATCTACAGGTAATATATTAAGCTTAATCATCTATTGCCACTAAATAGCCTATTTTAGATGTTGGCAGAGTCAGTTAAGATTAAAATTCCATTTAAAAACTATATTAAAAAATTTAATATAAAAAATTTAATTACATTAAATGAGTAAAAGAAGCCATATTTCATGAAAAGAAGCAGCACTTTAAATCTCACTTATAATGGTAATTGCTAATGTCATGATGCTTCCTTTCTGGTGTTGTTTTAAAAAGGCACAAATTTTGGGGGGTTCTATTTTTAATAGAACTACAGGATATAGGATATTAAAGCAACACACACTAATATGTAGAAATAGAGAAACCACAGAGTAACAAATTGAGCAACCACTAAAAAGTTTTAAAACTTGTATATACCTAATAACATAGTCTCAAAAGACAGAGTAAAAATGGACAAAATAGAAGAAAATTCACAATCTCTGCTATGGAGTAAATGCCTGTGTGCCCCCCAAACTCACATGTTGAAGTCCTAATATGATAGCACTGGAGGTGGGGCCTATGGGGGGGTAAATAGGTCATGGGGGTGGTGTCCTTTAAGAAGATAGAAGAGGTCTGGTGTGCCATGTGGGTTAGCTCCCTGGCAGGAGATCAAACTCATGCTGCAGTGGCTGGCATCAATCCTTTGCTAATGCTGAGACTTGAACCCCTGCACCACCAGGGAGGCCCTGGTCTACTAGCATCTTGATCTTGGACTTCCCAGCTTCCTGAACCATAAAATAAATTTTTGGTTTTGAGGTATCTAGTATGGGCCTCCCTGGTGACCTAGGGGTTAAGTCTCAGCACTATCACCACTATGGACTGAGTTCAATACACAGCCGGGGAGCTGACCCACATATAGCACAGCAGACCTCTCCTGTCTCATCTGCTGCATGCTTTAGCAGAGTATTTCAGTAGATCTGCCTGTTCTGCTCCCCACTCTGCCTCTGGTGAATCTTCTCACTGTCCCCCCTCTCACACCTCTGGCCTACACCACAGTTCTTCTATCCCAAAAAAATAAAGTAAGCTACCTAGTCTATGATATCTTATTATATCATCCTGACCTGACAACACAATCCCCAATCACACAGATAAAAAAATAACAGGAAGCAGAAAAAGATTTACACAAAAGTTTGGGCCAAAAGTAAATATAACAGGGCTTCCCTGGTGGCGCAGCGGTTGAGCGCTGGGTTGCGAAGCTGCCCACAGCCTCTGCAGCACCGGTTCGATCCCTGGCTGCTCCCTGGCCACCGGAGGAGGGTCCCACATGGCGTGCAGACCTCTCCTGCCGCCCGCTGCAGTGTACTTCAGTCCTTCTGCCTGCTCTGCTCCCTGCTCTGGCTCTGGTGAATTCTCTCACCCTCCTGCGCTTCTGACTGTACCCAGTGCTTGTATAAATAAATAAATATTTAAAAAAAGTAAATATAACATATAGTTATAGATACAGTGATACAGATATAAACAGAGAATATGCACACACATGTATGTGTAGAGAAAGGAGAAAATCTCAGACACCTTACATGCAAACAGAGATTACATATCCTTTTTAAAAGTAAATGTGGGATATGGACCAAATACTAAGTCATAAAGGAAATTGCAATATATTTCAAAGAATCAATATCAGTCACACCTTTCTCTAGTTACAAGGAAATTTAATAAGAAATAAACAATAAAAAGATAGTATAAAACAGGGTGAATAATATTAAACATACAACTAATAATCTTTTTTAAACATTATAAGTATTTCTTATGTGATTACATATTAACAACTTCTTATTAACAACTACATTAACTCAACTATATGTAAGTTTCTCATATTTCACTATTTCTTGGATTATATGGTAAAAAATTCCAACGGGGGAGAGGAGAAATACCCATTAAAAATCCAGCCTTCCTTACAGTCCTGTCCCTATACACCTAGCTCCAAATATCTAGAGGCAAACATTGTTTGTTACAAGGTCATTAGGGGTCCCTCTAGTGATATTCTAGGCACAGTGAGTGCATTTTTCTTCAAATTTTACTCTATTATATAAAACTCTGCTATAAACATCAAGAAGAAATATTTAGTAACATGTTGTGATGCCAAGAATTTTTTGATTCCTAATAGGGATATGCTATTTTTATATACTCTAAGAAAATTAAATATGACTTAAGTTGTTTTGTATTAATGGCAATGGCTTGACATAAAGACTTATAGTAAATGACATACACTTTCATGGCAAGGGATGCAATCTGTTAACTCATAGGAGAAATAATTCTCTTGTTCACTGAACATCTGATGCAGGCCCATTAGATAATTTTACCTATAACATAACATCACAAACCTTTAAATACTGACTCTAAATCGTAAAATAACATTTAAATTCTTGAGGGATTCACTTCTCATAAGCTTTAATGTCACCAGGGTATAAATGTATTAGCAAACGAAGCAACAAAGTACTGATAGTAAAGTCTTTGAAAAGAAGTTCCAAGCTAAATGTCTTTTCCCACTAATTAAACTAAGCAGTGGGGAGAGAGGGAAGACAGAAAGAGAGGTAGGGAGACAACCAATTTAAAGACCTGATAAATAAAACTTTGGAAGATTTATCAAAGATATTGACCAACTGATCGAGGAGCTCTAGAAAGAGAATATATAACAAATCAATGTTATTTTTCAATAAATTCAACAAAAGATTAACTTTTTTCTAAAAATATCTTCCAGGCAAAACAGAATCCCCAATTTCATTGAAGAGGGGAAAAAAAAAAAGACAATATAAAAAGAAAGGAAAATCCTTATTTTGTGAATTTCATTATATAAATAATGCATGTCCATTAAAATGTCTCAAGTATGGAAAAGGTTTTCTTTCCATGCTGATTGCACTCTTGCAAACATGATGAACATTCTTAAAACCTACTGGAGCATGCATGCTTCAATCCCACAAAAGGGACATAATACAAGTAGGGAGAGATTCTGTCTGCCCAGGTGAAGCAGCATCATGTCAGAAAGCAGAATGGCTATGGTGGGCAGACTAAGCCAATTTTTCAGAAAAAGGCTAACACTTACAAAGATTTGAACTGAGAGTTGAATGCATTGAGCCCAACTGCAGATATAAGAATATGCTGGTTATTAAGAGATATAAGCATTTTGAACTGCGGGAACATAAGAGAAAGGACCAAGTGATATAGTTCTAAGTTTCATCTTTTGTATGTTACAATGACAATAAAATCTTGAGATTATGTTCAATTAAAAAGTAAATGAGTGATAGTACACAATACAGTAATATGTGACAAGTTACATAAACATAGAATTAGAAACTTTTATACTTTAAATCTTTTTACATATTAAGTACTTTATGTATATTTATCATAAATTATAGCAAAAAATGTTTATAATAAATCTTTCCTCAGACAAAATATTTACTCAGAATAACTCAACAGGTAGAATTACTGGATCAAAGAATATGGCTATCTTTGAAACATCCTCTCAAGCTGCTTTTCAAAAGGTTGTAACAATTTGCACACTTACTAATGACATGAGAATGCCTGTTTTATTAAACATATATAGACTATTGTAATTTTAAAACCACGCTCTGACATGCAAAAAATGTTTTATGTGAGGGGAAAAAATTAAAAAGAGACAAGAAGAGTAATTAAACTTCTTATTCTGACCTATTATACTTTATGTCAGATATTTAAACTTCAAATATAAAAAATGTAAGACTTTTTAGGAAAATCTTGAATACATTATTTCAGAGTTACTACTGGAAAATCAAGTAGTTGTGCAAAAAGTAGTGGGATTTTTTAAAATTTTCTTCAGTAGTATTATAACTTTCAAGACAAAAAGTTACAGACAACAAAAAGTAATTAACTGTTACAGCATATAGAACAAAGAAGATGTGGAATTTCATGAATGGTTAAGAAATAAGTGGAATTGCTTTTGGATACCAAAAAGTATCCTAAACAAAGCAGCAATCATTTCCCCATCTTTAAAGTTATTTTACCAAGACAATTTTATTAGCTGCTGACACTTTAAATAACTAGAAATTTCCCTCACCTTACACATGCCGTAGTCAGTAAGTTTAATGTGTCCTTCAGAGTCCAGCAATACATTGTCCAATTTCAAATCTCTATAAATTATCCCTCGTTCATGAAGGTAATTTAATGCTAGACTGATTTCTGCAGAGTAAAATCTAAAATAAAGAATAACTCATTTGATTCAAATTTTTAAATCGTGGTAAATTTCTAGAGAAAGGTATTTAAGCCCTACTCTTATCTGTAAATAAAAACATCAAATCACATAAAAAGATCTTTTTTTCTACCAGTGCTTTTAGGAACTAATACCAAAAAACAAACTGAAGTACCACTTTGAAAAAATAGAGACAAAAAACACAATCATACAAGTTTCAGTCTAAATTAAACTGTGACTTCTCATAAATGTATTTCTTTCAAAGTCACAAATACAAGAATCTTGTTCTTTGGTGAACCTCATACACACTAGTCCTATAACTATAGGCAAAGTTGTATGTACATGTGCACACATACATTTTCTAAAGTGTTGCCATGGTTTTTATCATTTCTCTAAGGGACCAATGACCTCTGAAAATGCTAAAACCACTGATTGGTCTTGAATAGAAAACACTAGTCATTCAGAACATTTGTCAACTAAAAATCGACTACTCGAACCATAAAACCATGCAACAATTTCAAAAGAAACTATCCTGTAACCATAATATTTAATAGTAAAGAAAGAACTTTTAAAAACTCCAATCGACTCTTTCATATTAACCAGAACGTCTGACCCAAATAGTGAAATGGAACACTCAAGCAAGTTCATGGCTTCTTTGGTGAATGTTAACACTATCAGTCAGGAGAGACAAAGCATACACCTTCCAGCTACTTAATTCTATGACTAAAGAACTTAAGCCCTTAACCATGCTTTAATTCCTAAAAAACAAAACAAAACAAAACAAAACACGAAGATGGTACAGAAGTGTTGGCACTTCAATATAGTAAAAACTAGACTACTTTCCCCCAAGTCCAACTGAACAAACATGAAACAAATACTGGTTATGTTTATAATTCAAAATATCATATGTGGTTTTACTATGAAGGGTAACCATTTGATAAAGCTTATATAAACAATATACACAAGGTAAATTAAAAATAAAAACCTTGGCCTTAATATTAGATTAGTGCATTTTACACCTTTTTTTTTTTGGTGAAATTAAAGGATATTTTCTCTTTTTGACAAAAAATAATCAATGAAATAGTAATTTTTAGTAAATGTTATTTTTAACAATGAAGTCTCTTATCTTTGTTACTAATTTAATAATGACATGCATACATAAGTTCATATGCTTCACTTTACCATTACTCTTATGAAGCAAAAAAGGTTGGGTTATTGCTGAGTTTAAAAATCTAAAACAAAACGTGGTACTCATGGACTAAATTTACCTAAGACCATCTTCCCCACCTAAATCCCTCAACATAGAAACAATTTACAATGTAAGGTCACAAAATTAATACTTAACATTTTTGTTCTAACCATGTATGGTGTCAGAGGGAAAAAGCCAAAAGCAGAACATTTCAGAAATTCTAATTACAGGAAGAATAATCAGAATTACGTAACAGTTTAATGAAATTGTTTATTACTCTCAAATAAATATAATAATCTGCTGATGGCAAAATTGTCAAATAGAGATCACCAAAAACCTGGTAAGATTAATAACTGCAAATCCATCAATTATATCGGTGGCTGATGTTGATTAGTCAAAATATTTGGAAATAATTGGATTTAGCAGACTAACAGTTTCCCCTTTAATATTGTTTACACCTCTCAATTATTTATAAATACATAATTGTATATGTGATATATGCTACATACATGTTATATATTATAATACAAATTAACTTTTAGTTTAGCCTATATATGACCCACAAAGAACTAATTATTTAGCCAAAGGCACATAAAATGCCCCAATACAAACAATAAAGTTACCTGGCATGTTCTTCCGGAAGTTTTCTTTGTCGCTGCATATGAAACATTAAATCTCCTCCATTTACATATTCTATAACGAAGAACAATCTAAAATACAGGAGAGACATAAAACCAAGATCTAAAATAAGGTGGTATAATTTTGCATTTTAAACACTACAGGAATCAGTCACAACACAGAGAACATTCCTGACTTATCTTGAACAATTCCAGGAATTTGGTGGAAACAAAGGGTAACTGAAGTAGAAAGCTATTTAGTAACAGATAATATAGTAAACTAGTAAGCTAGTATGATAATAATTCTGGAACCCTCTACTTCTAAAGTATTACCGCTTTGTAAAAACAAGAGTCACTCATTTCCAACCCAATTTTAGCTTTTACAGTAAGTAATTTACAACTGTTACTAAAGGTAAAGATGTCAGACTTCTTTCACCTACTTAAAACTCCAGGAAACTCTAAGTCATAAATGTAGAATCTTGGGGATATTTAAAAGGTTGAATTTCTGATGCCATAATTATGACCTGGTTGGTTGTTTTTTTTTTTTTTTTTTTCACCTAAAGCAAGTATTTTCTTTCTTTCTTTTTTTTACTTTCTGTTTTAAACATTTTATTTTATTTATTTATACAAGCACTGGGTACAGTCAGAAGCACAGGAGGGTGAGAGAATTCACCAGAGGCAGAGCGGAGAGCAGAGCAGGCAGACTGACGAAGTACACTGCTGAGGGCACCAGCGGGGGGGCAGGAGAGGTCTGTGCGCCATGTGGGACCCTCACCCGGTGGTCGGGGATTGAACCAGTGTTGCAGAAGCTGGCCCCAGCGCTCAACTGCTGCGCCACCAGGGAGGCCCGCAAGTATTTTCTTTAATGCAGATCCAATATTAAATTGATATCACTGGTTAGCATATGAATGGCAGGAGATTATAAGCAAAGAAATGCTTTGTCTGTCTTATAACTTCTACTTCAGGAATTATAATAGACAGGGTTCGTAAGTGTAATATACCAAAATGTGTAAAGCCCAGGATTCATTACATTATCTTTTAATCTTACCTACTTTCCGTCTGAAAACAAGAATGCAGCCCAACAAGAAAAGGATGATTGGATGCTTGCTCAAAAACATGCTTCTCTGTCTGTACCCAATCAATATCCTATTGTAAAATAAAAGAAATCTATGTCAAAATGAAATATCATCAAGACTAATGATAAATTTGTTCTTAGCAATTCGATTATCACAAATGCAATTATTAACTAACTGGGATAAATATCAAAAGATTGCTAATCGTGAAGCATAGTTCATCTACAAAGAGAAAAACACAACCAGTAAATCTCAATATTATGAAGTAGTCTAAAAATTTTATAAAGCTCAAGTACCTTCCCCTGATATAACATGGTTTGATTTTTATTTTTTAAAAGATCTAATAATCATCAGATTACTTTAAGTATATGCTGTGTAATCTGAAGTGTATAGTTAGAAATGTAGATGTAGTAATAATAATAATAAGGTGGGAATATTGAGGTTTTTCTGTAATAATACAGTGAGGCCAGTTTAACAGCTTTGAAGTAATCATCACTGTGCTTACCTCATCATCATTGACAAGTTCTTTTTTCACAACTTTCATTGCATAAATACGATCTGTTTTTTTCAATCGTACCAATAGTACTTTGGCATAACTTCCTCTTCCTATTACCCGGAGTAAATCAAAATCCTGAAGACCTAAACTGGAAGAAGCTTTGCCACTTTCCCTTGTGTTCATTGCCTGTTAAGAACATTTATATCAAAGAGTTACACCTTGGAGGTATCTTGCATAATACATTATACTTCTAACAGCTATAATATTGCATTGAATATTTTCTGATTGAAGTTAGTAATTCTTTTCTTACATCACTCCAAACCACGCTATCTAACTACTAGAGAGGGAGAATGAATTTATGAGTTGCGGTCAGAGTGGTTCTGATAGGAATGAAAAGGGAGTTGAAATCTGAGAAATGTCAAAAGATGTTTTAAAAATGACCAATAACTTTTGGGGTGGGAGCAATGTGAATGCATGGAAAAAATAAAAAGACACAAATTTTGAAAACTGGAGATACCACTAATAGAAAATAAAGTATACGAATGGACTAAGATTGACAGAGCTGTTGAGATACTGAGTTAGGGTTTTTACATTGAATTTAGAAGTTATAATGGGATATAAGCTCGGTATATAAAATCTGAGTTAGTGAGAGGATATACTCAGAGCCATTTTTGAAAGCAACAGGCAAAAAGAAGCAGGAGGAAGTTAAATTAATGAAAAACATTCTCATACATAAAACCAAAACTCATTTGGAAGGACAGATTCACAGCTAGAAAGTTAAGCTTCTGGTAATTTCAGAGACAACTGAAGATAATGTTTTATAATAACCTGCAAAATCCCCAGAACACAAATCAACAGGTGTATCCATTAGAATTAAAGATTAATTTTCCAAAGATAACAGTATCAAGAAAAGCAAAGAGCAACTTTTGAAAAAGATAAACCAGTAAGCACAAAGCAGAAAGAAAAGTATGAAAATGGAAGGAAACAATGATTCAAAAGGTCCATCCAGAAAAATACTTAGAAATAATAATATCATCTGGTAATAAGGATAAACATAAACAAAGAGGAGTAAAGAGAAATCAGATTAAGGCAGACTAAGAAAGAAAAGAATAGTGAGGAGATGACATAATGTATGTACTTTAAATATACTCAATTGGAAACTATAAAAGAGAATCAAAGGAAACAAAAGCACAGTACCTTCACAGAAACAATGAGGCTGAATGAAATGACAGAAGCCAGTTAACAGTAGAATGTCACCTTTCAAGGACCTAAAATAAACCATGCTGACCTAAAATTCAATACCCTGTAAAAATAGCCTTCAAAATGACAGTGAAATAAAGCCATTTAGGCAAATAAAAACTAAGAAAATGCACGATTGTAGGCTCTATTTAAAGGAAATACCAACTTGAGTTTGACAAGAAGATGATTTCAACTGGAAGAACAGAGATGCAGGACGGAATATAGAAAAAGATAAAAGGTAGATAAACCAAATAAAGACTATTTAAAAACAGTAGCATATACACATACAGAATTTTAAAATATGATAAAAATGGCACCAAAGACAGGAAGGAGGGATAAGCAAACTGAAAATATTCTCAGGTCCCCGAATATTCTAGGAGATGGTAGAAATATTAACAATTTATATTTAATTTAAGTAAGTTCAGGAATTAAGGCACAATCTTTGGAACAACCAGTAACAGAATAGCAAAAGAATGTAGTTCAAACTAAAAAGATATAATATAAATATACAAAGTTTTGATGAGAATGTAGAACAAACCAAACTTACACACATTGTTAATGAAAGTATAAATTGATACAAGCACTTTGAAAACTGGCATTATTCACTGAAGCTGAATGCACACATGACTCAGGAATTTCACTATGTATCTAATGAAATGTTGACAGTTATATGCCTAACAGAAATGTTTAAATATATGTGTCAAACTATATTTATTGGGATTATCTAGAAGGGAAATTGGCAACAGAATAAATTGAAATAACAATGAAAATAAATGAAAGACTGCCATCTGAAACAAGGCTGAATCTCACAAATACAATGCTGAGCAAAAGAAGTCTGGCACAAAAAGGATACATGCTGTCTGAATCCATTTCTATCATGTTGGGGGGGGGGGAGGGAGGCAAAACTAATCTGTGGTATTAAGATAATATTGTTGTTAAATCCTGCGGTTACCTGTAGGGGAGGAGGGAGTATTAGTGACTGGGAGAAAGTCCCAGAAAGGCTTCTGCTGGTCCAATCTCCTGATCTGGTTGGTCATTACATAGTGCACATCTGTGAAAAATTATCTAGCTGTATACTCATGATTGTGCACTTTTTGCATGTTATTCTTTAAACATATATTAAAAATCTTGAAGACTGGTGGAGAGCATCGTATAGTAACATATACATTTAAAGAGTTATGGACCTTTATCCTAAAACATACAAAACTTTAATACTACCTCAATAAAATAAATAATAAAAAACTAAGAGAGTAGGAAATAAGATTAAATCAGTAACCAACTGCTGTTTTTAAAAATAATACAACAGTGAGGGAAGTGGGTAGACAACACACTTGCCATATACTGACCTTGTTTTAACTGGGTAATTGATACAGATAAAGTAACTTTATTACACGGTTTATTTTCACTTATGTTTGAAATCTTCTATAATAAAAAGGTGGATTTCTTTTAAAAAGGTAACCAATAGGCGAGTAAGACATCACACACTTATCAAACAAATACTGAACCAAGTAAGGGGGGAGATTGAGTGAATGAAACCTTTCAAGACCAGAAATATAGAGAGATGAAAAATTCAGGGGGCGTCCCTGGTGGCATAGGGGTTACATTTCAGCACTATCACTGCTACAGACTGAGTTTGATCCCTGGCAAGACCAGGGACCTAACCCACATATGGTGTAGCAGAGCTCTCCTGTCTCACCCACTGCTCTTCTTAGCAGTGTATTTCAGTAAATCCGCCTGTTCTGTTCTCCACTCTGGCTCTGGTGAATCCTCTCACCCCCCCTCACCTCTGGTCTATACCCCAGTTCTTCTATGTCCCCCCCAAAATGAAATATTGAAAGACAGAGGTATAAATATTATAGATATCTAGAAATGATTAAAACAGGCTGCCTCCTAGAAGTTAAAATATTAGTGTGAGGAATGATAAATCTTTTTCGCTGCAAACTTTAAAAAAAATAATTATCATTTTAATGAAATACTTTTTATAAAAAATTTGTTTTAAAAAACTTACAAAATATTTCATAAAAAAAAAAAAAATAGGGGCAGTTAAGATGCTTAATCACTTATACTTTAAACAAATTGCCCAAAAAATATAGGCTCTAATGTTAAGTGAAGTCAGAAGGAGAAAGACAAATACTGGGTGGTTTTATGTGTGGAATCAGAGAAAGCAAACAAAAGGTCAAAGACAAACTTTGAAAGCTGACCAGAGATCTGAGGCATTGGGGGAGTGGAAGGAGAGGAGAAAAGGAGAGGTAAAACAGGAGGAGGGAGAACATATGGACTATGACTAAGGCTACCAGAGGGAGATGTGGTGGGGTGGAAGCAAAGGAGAAAAGAGGGTCTAATGCAGGATTGCTGGGGTTTTGGTGGTGGGAGAGGTGAAATAAACTACATCTGTAAAGGTGTGAATCTACATGGATAAGACATATATTATAATGTAAATCAACATCACCGCAAAAAATATTAACTATGAAAATATATATATAGGATCTATGATATATTTAAGCAATACACCTAAGTATTCTAAACACCCTTTTTAGATACATCATAAGTTTTAGAGGATGCTATCCTAAATTGAAGATAAATTATCCTACTATATTCTTAATTTTAATTAAATTTTAAAAATTTAAAGATTTTAATTAAATTAGTAACTTATTCAATTAAATCAAACTTTGGAATCATTAAAAAATATTGCTGCATTTTACCATTATGACATAAAATATAAGTAAATAAATTTGCCATATTTCTAAACTGTCGGGTCTTATTAAAAAGCTGATGACATAATGTATAAAATAACAATTTATCTTACCTCCTTTTCTTCACCAACTTGGTCCAAACTCTCATGACTTGAAGGATTATATGGAATTACTAAAACCCCAATTCCAAACAAAAGAAAAAAAAAAAATCATCCATTAACTGAATTTGATTAAAAAAAATTTTTTTTTCTCCCCATTTTACAGTTTTTATTTCTGAATAAGTTTTCATCGTTTAAAAGTAAGTATCTGTCCTAATAACAAATTGCATTTAAATGAGCTAAATACTAATCTTCAAAGAAAGTAAGGAGAAGAATCAATCAGTAGTCAATACTATTTTAACAAATATTTTTGCTATTTTTTAAACATTTCTGTTCTTTAAAAATTAATCCAACAACTTGTGAAAGAATGATTCTATAAACCCTACTAATTTTGTAGCATGACTAAACATTGAAGATCTCTGGTTTTCATGCCTCATTTCCTTGGTACTCAAAATGCTGCTGACTACCATACCTCACAGGTCAAGAAAATAAATGATGAAGATGGAACTCTAGTCTTCATTCCCTGAAGCTTACCTGGACACTAAAATCCTACATTCATATAATCAGCAGCCTCCATGAATAAGAGGTTGCATTCTGTCTTCCCAGAAAAACTCCTTTGCCTTCCTTTTCTTGATTCAGCCCAAATCATGATGCTCTGCTTCATTTTACTGCTCTCCAAATATCCCAAATACATATTTAAGGTTTGTACCTATTTGGTGTTTTAAATAACATGATCTATACTGAATCGCTATCTTTTACATAATTTTTATTTTTGATAATAAAACTTATAAAAACATGACCCACAAAGTCAGTATATGTAGTCAGTATTGAAAAAAAACTAGGTATGCTGAATTTAAAGGGATCTAAAAAGAAACTTATCTGAATTAGACAAGTCATTTGTTATAGTTTACCAGTCATCCTTTTCAAATGCTAAATGTGCTTTAAATATTGTGACTGATATTACCACTGCAAAATATAGTTACCTAATTTTTATCTGGGAAGACAGTATATATTTTAAACTTGGGTAAAAGAGTCACCTAAAGAAATCTTAAAATGATACTTTGTTACTGAACAATGGTTCATGCCACTATTATTCTTACCTGTTTGTGCATGTTCTGAATGCATGGATGACTGATCTATGGTCATGAGCGGTTCCTACAAACATTTCCAAAAATAGGGGAATTAGTGGATTCTTTTAAATCCCAATACCTCTTTTAAATCCCAATAAGTCCAGAAGCAACATTATTTCTATGAGAACTGGCATATTAAACTTTAAACTTCAAAGAACGTAACTTGTAAAGTGAGGATTCTATTACTAAATTTAAGTTATTATTTGTTATTTATTATATCTTAATTAGCATCTTAATTATTTAAACTATTTACCACTATATTAAATTTATTTTTAATCTTATTTTATGAAACCATACAATATTCTTGTAAAAGAGGTAACGTCAGTCACATTTTACACATAAGAAAAGAAATATAGGGCCTCCCCGGTGGTGCAGCGGTTGAGCGCTGGGTTGCAAAGCTGCCCGCAGCCTCTTCAGCGCTGGTTCAATCCCCCACTGCTCCCGGGCCACCAGAGGAGGGTCCCACATGGCGCGCAGACCTCTCCTGCCGCCCGCTGCTCCCCTCAGCAGTGTACTTCGGTCCTTCTGCCTGCTCTGCTCCCTGCTCTGGCTCTGGTGAATTCTCTCACCCTCCCGCGCTTCTGACTGTACCCAGTGCTTGTATAAATAAATCTTTAAAAAAAAAAAGAACTATAAAATTAGTTACAGGTTATCAATCAAAAATCAAATTAAGCTCCCATGTAGTCTAATGTGTTTCTCTTCTATGCTACATATTCTCCGTTTGAGCTCCACATATTCACTTTAAGTCTTTGGCTGAGGCAGAGAGACAGACTTCATGTCTACAAACCTCTTGAAATTATATGTAAAATACTGTGGGTTTCCCATTATTTGAAGATTCTCAAAGATGTCAATGACCCAAAAAAATACAAGTACCTTCTATAAACAGACTTAAGCAACTAAATAACAATAATCTCAGGAACAATGCTAATTCAAACCAAAATGTCACCAACGCATTCATCTTGATTAATATTTTAATCAAGTTTAGTGAATATCAGCAGGCAAGGGTAAACTTGAAAAGGAGCATTAGTCATACAATTATCATTTTAAGGCTAAAGATAGGTTCATGGATTTTTCAATGCATTTAGCAACCATCCTAAGATATCAATGATTCACTAACTCTGCCCCCCTTTTCTACATTTATGAAGTCACACAAGTCATAATCAACAGTAACTATGTTTTTGGCCTTCTGTTTTCTTTAAGACTGCATTTTTACTTCACTAACTATAAACTCATTCCTATAAATGAAGTAGCTAAATAATTCTAATACCAAACAGCCACCAGTTATAATGTATTTGTACAATGTTCAAAGAGTTATAAACAAACATGGTATATACAATTTACAAAGATGCATCCAGATCTTTTTAAAAATGCTTATCCTTTAACCCAGTAATTCTATTTCTGTATCCCTAGATAACAATAAATTTACCAGGAAATTCATCATGATTTTCTTTATAGGAAAATTTAGAAAATAACTCAAATGGTCACTCACGGGGAACAGGTTAAATAAATCACAGTATAGACATATAACAAAATGTTATGCTAAAAATGATGAGGATATAGATGACAAAAATACATTGCAAAAATGTATTAGAAAAATGGGTTAGGAAACAGTATATATATGGTCTCACTTTTGTTACTATTGGTAATAGAATGAGACAAAACCAAACATTATATGCCTTTGGTAAATATTCCATCTTCTATAAAGCAAATAGTCTGAAAACAACCCACAAAAGACCAAGAACCAAGATCTAATCAAACCTTATAGATCCAACTATAATACAAAGGACAGGAGAAATTTAAACATAACAATAGAAAAGTTAAGAGCAAAATTCTGCAACATTCCAAATGACACTATAATTTCTTCTGTAATTAAATTGTGAGGGGGGAAAAAGAGAGACATGGAAGAATCAATAATTAAAACATCTCTAAGACACATGCCAACTATAGACTTCATGCCAACACATGCCAACTATAGACTTCATCTGGACCCTGATTTATAATAAAAATTGTAAAAACAAAATCATAATATTTATGAGCTAACTGAAATTCTGAACATTTCCTAGATGGATATTTAATATCCATGAATATTTGATAGAATTTGGTTTTCTGTTATTTAGAAAACCTTATCATTTAAAGATACATACATCTGAGATATGTGTCAAAATGAGGACAGGTTAAATGGGTAGGGGTACAGAAACAAGATTGTTTTGAGCTGATAACTGTAGCTGGCTGAGTGGTACATGTACTTTTGGAAGGATATACATCAAATGCCAAGTGTAGATGGTATGTTTCATGGGGAATTTTTATTTAATTTTTTTATTCATCTGTATTCTAAATTGTTTCTATAATAAACATGTTTTGATGACATATATAAAAAAGGAAACAAAAAAATTTTAAATGCAAAATTCTCCAGTACTCTCTCACTTCAGATAGGAAACATGAAGTCTCTTAACTGATCTCTTCTTAGTACAGATGCTAAATTAATAGAAGTTGTAAATTAATGAGTTTAGCTTAATGAAGAGAAATAATTTCTTAAATGATTTTTCCCTACTTCTTCCTAATTTAGAACAGAGGATCTACAACAGGTTAAACAAAGAAATTTCTATATCCTGTAAATAAATTTGTAATAACAATTCCCAAATCCACCCTATGTTATCTGAACTTAAAGCATTCATATTCATATTCTGTAACAACAGTATTGCACTATGATTCCTTAACATCTCCCTACTTTAGCCTTCTGTTCTAGAGTGGTTATCAAAAAAACGCTACTGAAAAAAGACAGACATTTGGTCTTACTGGTTGCAAAGTATGCCGCCCACATTCAATTGTGACAAGTTTGTGGCACTTCTTATGAACCAGGAGTTTGCAGTTGATGCACTTATATCCCTGGCGTCCAAGTCCCCAGATTCGGTCCGTGCAGATGGCACAGTGAGCACGCTGGAAAGAAACAGTAATTCAGCAATGTTTTAACAAGAAAAGATCATTTTCCAACAGTTTGTTCATTAAGTAATGAAATTTTGGCTTTCTTCGTGATTCAATTCCCTTTATCATGCATAACTTCTTCAAAGCTAGACTGGTCAAGGGAATTGTATTAAAGAGACAATGAAATTAATTAACCAGGCTGTGTTCTGTTATAAGGCCAAGAATTTTCAGTCTTCACATAATTAAGTTCAGAGTAATGAGTAAGAAAAAGTGACCTATAATTCAAAAATATATGGCAGGAAATATGTGCAAGGACTCCCGGCAAATATAAACCTAAACTGTTTATATTTAGAGATCAAACTAAGATCCTGCTTTCTTAATTAATACCTAAAGTGACCATTTTTTAAAAAAAGATTTATTTATGCATACAAGGAGGGGGTGAGAGGATTCACCAGAGACAGAGTTGGGAGCAGAGCCAGGCAGATCTACTGAAATACACTGCTGAGGGGAGCGGTGAGGAAGTAAGGAGAGGTCTTAGCTCCCTGCCTGGGAATTGAACTCAGGCCATAGTGCTGAGACTTTAACCTCTGCACCACCCGGGAGGCCCTGACTTTCTATTTCAGTTTTTAATCAGTGCTACTAGGAATAAGAGTTTGGAAACCCCAGGTGGTAGCTTCTATTTACATTTCTGAACTCACAGCACTGGCACTAATTTTAGAATGGAAATGGAGTCCATAAATCTGTAGTTTTAAATAGTAGTTTATTTATTTAAAAGATGTATTTTATTTATTTATGCATACAAGAGCTACAGTGTGGGCCAGAGGTAGGGTTGGGGTGCAGGGAAGAGGATTCACCAGAGACAGGGTAGGGAGCAGAATAGGCATGCACACTGAAATACATTGCTTAGGGAGCAGTGGGCTAGAAAGGAGAGGTCTGCTGCACCATGTGGGTCAGCATCCTGGCTGGGAATCGAACTCACACTGTAGTGGCTGCGGATAGACTCATAGTACTGAGACTTAACCCCCTGTGCCACCAGGGAGGCCCTCAAGAATAATTTAAACATGGAATTCTGAACACAGACTGCTTTCAAATCTTGCCTCTACCACTTAGTAGCTTGTCATCTTGGGCAAGTTAACTGCCCTGCCCCTCAGTCTCTTCATCTGTATAATGGAAATATATAGTACTTATCTTACAAGGTTGTTGTAAGGATTAAATGAGTCAATATATGTAAGCGAATTGGAAAAATGTTTGGTATATAGTAGAAATCAGACAAGTGTTTGTAATTATTATTTCTAAATGAAAATTGAAATTACAATATTAAATGAACTTAAAAATAAAACTTGTTTATTTTCTGAGAACCTCAAATTATATTAAAAAATCCAACTGGGTGATGTTAAGTTAATCATCCAAGCTAGAACATTTTTAGGAGTGAAATAAGATGCTAATTAAGAATTACCTCAAGTCAACAAGTGTACTGCCCCAGGAACACTACTTATTCTTTTAAAGGGTGTAACAAGACTACCTTTCTTTCATAGAAAAGAAGAAAACGATAGGTATCTCAAATTATCAACATGTAATAAAGTTTACCCTGTTGAAGCGCTTGGCTTGAAAAGTGTGACCATTTGCACAATAAAGCTTTCTCCAGCGCCTTGCACCTCTTCGGTAAATGGATTCTGAAGAAGATTAAACGTTAGGAAAAAGAAGTAGAGCAAGTGTGAATAAAAGTCATTTTGTGATTAAGTCTGATTTTTTAAATGATGCTCTTGTGCAAAAAATATATACTCATAAAAACCTCAAAGTCAAAAAAAAGTATTAAAAATAATACCAATAAAAAACTGAATGTGAAAAACTAAAAGGAACTAGAATAAAGCCCAAGGAGTAGAAATATTTTAATAATTATTAAGAATAACTTCTTGCTAAGACATTCAAAAGAAGGCCCATTAACAATTCTTTTTTTTAATCATTTATTTTTTTAAATAAATTTTATTTTTATATTCCCCACACAATTGCAACCCCCTTATTTTGACCCCAATCCCGCCCCCTCCCTGCCCTGTTGATTTTGATTTTCATTTTCTCATAGTTATTCATTTTCCTGGTCCCTTATTTAAGTTTCCTAGATTCCTGCTATGAGTGAGACCATCCGGTATTTTTCTTTTTCTTTCTGGCTTATTTCGCTGAGCATGATCCCTTCCAGCGCCATCCATGTTGCCGCAAATTGCATGTGTTTATCTTTTTTGAATGCTGAGTAATATTCCATGGTGTATATGTACCACATCTTCTTGATCCAATCATCTATTTTTGGGCATTTGGGTTGTTTCCAAAGCTTAGCTATGGTAAATAGTGCTGCTATAAACACAGGGGTGCAGGTGCTCTTTGGAATTGATGTTTCTGTGTCCTTTGGGTAAATACCTAGGAGTGGCAATGCTGGATCATATGGAAGCTCTATGTTTAGTAGGTCCAGAAATCTCCACACAGCTCTCCATAGTGGGTGGACCAGTTTGCACTCCCACCAACAGTGCAGGAGAGTTCCTTTTTCTCCACATCCTCGCCAACATTTGTTGTTGCTAGTTTTTTTAATATGTGCCATTCTCACTGGTGTAAGATGGTATCTCATGATAGTTCTGATTTGCATTTCCCTGATTACAAGTGATGTTGAACATTTTTTCATATGCCTGTTGGCCATTTGCATTTCCTCTTCAGAGAAGTTTCTTTTTAGCTCTTCTGCCCATTTTTTGACTGGATTATTTTCTTTGTTGTTGCTGAGTCTCATCAGCTCTTTGCAGATTTTTGTGATCAGTCCTTTATCATTAGTGTTGTGTGCAAAAATGTTCTCCCAGTCAGTGGGGTTTCTCTTTGTTTTGGTTATTGTCTCTTTTGCTGTGCAGAAGCTCTTTAATTTGATGTAGTCCCAGCTGTTTATCTTTGCCTTCACTATCACTGCTTTGGGTGATGTGTCTGTAAAGATGTCTTTGATGTGCATATCACGCAGTGTTTCACCTATATTTCCTTCTATGTATTTTATGGTTTCAGGTCTTATGTCTAGTTCTTTAATCCATTTTGAGTTGATTTTTGTGTATGGTGTGAGGTAGTGGTCAAGCTTCATTCTATTGCATGTTGCAACCCAGTTTTCCCAGCACCATTTATTGAACAAACTTTCTTTGCTCCAGTGCATAGTCTTTGCTCCTTTGTCAAAGATTAGTTGACCATAAATCTGGGGGTTTGTTTCTGGATTTTCTATTCGATTCCATTGGTCTGTATGTCTGTTCTTGTTCCAATACCATGCAGTTTTGATGACTATGTCTTTGTAGTATAGTTTGAAGTCTGGGCATGTGATGCCTCCATTCCCTTCTTTTTTTTTTTTCAGGAGACCTTTGGCTATTCGGGGTTTTTGGTGATTCCATATGAATTTCATCAATAATGGTTCTATTTCTTTGAAAAATGACATTGAAATTTTTATTGGAATAGTATTGAATCTGTATATTGCTTTTGGTAGGATGGTCATTTTAATAATGCTTATTCTTCCAATCCATGAGCAGGGGATGTCTTTCCATTTCTTTGTGTCTTCTTCTATTTCTTTTAACAGTGTTTTATAATTTTCTTTGTATAGGTCCTTTACCTCTTTTGTTAGATTTATTCCAAAGTATTTGATTTTTTTTTGTTTTGATAATAAAAGGGATGGTTTTTTTTGATTTCTTCTTCTTCAGATTTATTGTTTGTGTATAGGAAGGCTACTGACTTTTGCGTGTTGATTTTGTATCCTGCCACTTTACTGAACTGACTGATGAGTTGAATTAGTTTTTCTGTGGAGTTTTTGGGGTTCTCTATGTATATTATCATATCATCTGCAAATAGTGATAGTTTGACTTCTTCTTTTCCTATTTGGATTCCTTGGATGTCTTTCTCTTGTCTTATTGCTCTGGCTAGGACTTCCAGTATTTTACTGAAAAGCAGTGGTGAGAGTGGACATCCTTGTCTTGTTCCAGATCTTAATGGAAATGCTTTGAGAATGATACTGGCTGTTGGCTTGTCATATATGGCCTTTATGATGTTGAGGTATGTTCCTTGTATCCCAAGAATTTCAAGGGCTTTTATCATGAATGGGTGTTGCACTTTGTCAAAAGCTTTCTTGGCATCTATTGATATTATCATATGGTTTTTATACCTTTTTTTGTTGATGTGTTGGATAACATTGATTGATTTTCGGATGTTGAACCATCATTGTGTCCCTGGCATGAATCCTACTTGGTTGTGGTGAATTATCTTATGGATACATTGTTGGATTCTGATAGCTAAAATTTTATTGAGGATTTTTGCATCAGTGTGCATCCATTAACAATTCTTAAAGAATTGTGTGCTAAAGTATTTAGAGGTGAAGTAACCACCTACTCTCAAATAGTACAGAATGAAAAAAAAGTGTGTTTGCTATGCATATACATGTGATGGAGGCTTAAGACTAGAAAAATTGGGATAGATATGTGTGACAAGACCTCTTGAAGGTGGGGATGGAAATGATTAACATCATCTTTAAACCAGCTATAGAAATAAAATATCTTTAAGTGCAGCTGGAGATGGGGATATGGGAACTGTGAGTCATTAAAAATAACTGCTATAGAAAATATACGTAGGCAAGGACCAGAGGTAGGAATATAGAGATTGAGGGTCCTTACAATTAACCCAACCACAACTAGAAGTGATTCACAACAGATTAAAAATTTTATAAAAAATCAACCCCTCCCTCCAAAAGGAACACTCTTATCAGAAAAACAACTGCCCTGGCAAAATGCAGTTCTTTTCCCAAGACTGACAGTGTCTATGCAGGCGTCTCTTTGAACAAATTCCCCTTTTTCCCCCAAAAGCAGCAGCAGCAGCTTTCTGCCTACCCACTTATATGCAGGTACTTCTTTTTTCCTTTTTCCTTGTCTTAACCTTTTCTTTTAGAAGGCAGCCTTTGCCTGTTTGAGTCTATGCAAACCTTAGTAATCTTACAGTGTGCTGCTGGAAAGGGAACTCTGCTGGAATGTTTCTCAGAGGTAACCCAAGGACCCTGCTCACTGAACCCCACATCTCATCAGAACATGGGTGTGGTGCACTTACAAAGCCAGAGATAAAGCAAACATGGAAAACACTAACCACTGGTGAACATTGGCAAGGGGTACATGGATACTTTGTTTTCAATGTTGTTTCAACTTCTCTATAGATTTAAAACTCTCCAAAATTAAAAATCAGTAAGAACACAACTAAAAACTAACTTCATTTTCCTTTCAAATGCTCAACAGACAATTATAATATGTAATTAAGAACTACCTGATTTTGATCTAGCAAAGATTAATTTAGGCAGTTGCTAATAATACACTCTAAATTAGACTGACAAAGGGAATCAAGTGAATTAAAAAGTGCTATTTCTGATTTCTTTTCCTTGTGCCAGAAATAACTTTTTTCAAAGATATGAAATACGTAAACACTCACTATCTTCTCCTGGACAGGGCATTCCAGGACGTTCTGGTACACAAGGGAATACTGAAAGGAAATAAACTAAAATTAATACAGCACAATTAAAACATAAATTGCAAAGAATTTAAACTCAAATATGAAAAAACTAGACCCAAATGTCAACCTCACCCTTCTTGATATAAGATTCTTAACATGTGGTCAGTATTTTTTGAAGGGATGCATTTTACTAAGGCTATATAAAATAAGTTCTAGAAAAGTAAAATCCATAACAATGAATTAGAAGCTCAAATTACTCATTCTAGTCCCTGTTGTATCCCTAACTGATATTTTTTTGTCCTTAGAGAAATCACTATTATCCCTTAAATCCTGAAAACAGATTTGATACAGTGGAAAAAGAAATAAAACTTAAAATTAACTCTTTAATATTATTCATCAGTCATTTCTTTAAGCATTCATTCCAGTTTAGTTCTAGAAAGACATGACCAAAAAATGTGTAACTTCTAGAGCTCTACTATGATCTCAACAAATTATAGATTCCTTGGGAGCTGCTAAGACAAATTCCGAAGGTGGAAAAACTCAAACTACTGTTTAAATTTTTAAAAAATACTGTAGAGAAAAAAATAAAGTACAACGGAATAGTGAATTATTATTCACTATACTAGGAGGAGATTTATATTTGTTTCAAATTTTAAAAAAGTTCTCTGGCCTAGAGCTCTCAAAACTGTTACATGAAATACTGCCAAAGTGTATCAATTAAATACAGCATTTTAAGTGATTCTACAGGACACAAAAAATTTGAGGGATAGTAAGGGAGAATGAAAAGAGCAGATTTGGAATCAGAATACCACCTAGACTGACAACTCGGGTTTATAATGTAATTGTTACATGACTGCTGAATTTAAGCCTCTTCTTCTATACCACACCACTACCTACCTCTCAGGGTGGTTGACATTTAACACACTGATGTCTATAGTAACTATGTAAATGGTTTCACTGTTAACCCTTCAACAAAAGGACACTTAAGATACCTTTGAAAATTTATATATTACAAAACTGCAAGGAAATGATAGGCTCTAATAGGCTCCCATACTTAAAATCTATTTAAACTTTTCTGTGAAATAATGAAAGAGAATCACATTTTAATATCCAGACAAGCATGAACAAATAACACAAATTTACGGATTGCCTTTTTCTTCTCACATTTGAGAAGCTACTGAATAAAGACAATTACATAGCTAAAAGAGGAAATGATTAAAAAAATAAGGACTATGTTTTTAAATGGTTAAGAATATAGGATTATTTCTAAAAGAATAAGAAATGACTACTCTTTACCATGAATCAAGAGCTCAGAGTCCTTGTTTAGCTCATAAAGTCTAAAAGCTTCTTCTAATTCCAACTGAGATGATACTGTACATGGGTCTCCTAAAAAACATAAAAAGTCAAGTCAAGTTACTTGATATTCTCCATGATTAGTAAACAATGTCTATTATGTGAAATTTTGAGGAAAAAAATGCATATATACATATAGTAACAATAAAATCTTTTAGGTATTTAGACAATTTCATTCTCTAAAGTAAGTAACATAACTTCCACTTCTATTTCTAAGAATATTGCATGAGGTTCACAGGTACCGAATTTATACATACTAAAAATTTAATTCTCAGTATTGTATATATACAAAATGTAGCAAACAGAGTTCTACCTTGACCACATTTTAGATGGTTACTGAAATATGACTAACGGCCAGGAACAAGCTTTCTGTTACCTATTTCTTTAAATGACGAAGTGAAAGAGGTTCCATTTGCAAATTATAAATGGTTAGTTTTCCATGTAATAATTTTGTCAAATTTTTCCTTTCACCTGAGAGCCTGCTCAAGAATGTCACAGAAAGAAATCACAGTTAACAAAAGTACTCTGGGCTTCAAAGAGTCCTAATTGAGCTGCTTTTAAACGTAAATGCCTAATTTTAGTGAAGTTACACAGAGAGAAGGAAAAGTCACCCCTCTTATCCTGCCAGTCCAATTGAGTCATCCCTAGCAATCTATGAGATGGCACATTTCCTATAAATGGCATTCCTCAAAGAAAAAGTCATTTAGAACATTGAAGGGGAAAAGGAGTAATGAGTTACTGTTTAATAGATACAGAGTTCCAGTTTGTGAAGGTGAAAAATATACTGGAGATGGATTTATTGTGGTTAGCCTGGCTATACCTACATTAGCAAAACAAACAAACAAACAAAAAAAAAAAACAAAAAAACAAAACAAAACAAAACAAAAAAACCCACGAAGTGGTACGGTGCCAGTTCCGGACTTCAGAATGAAGAAGGTCAGGTACCTTTTGCTTTTGTGCTTTTGGGAGTCATCAGTCACTAAGTAAAAATGAGAGGAAACCATTGACAAGAGCAGATTTATACCAAGAGTGAGAGAGAAGAAAGTGTGCCAGCATCATGGGTTCTATCTGATTCTAGATGCATTTGCCATCTGACAGTTGGTCACTGCATTCATTGCTTCCAGTGAATCCAGCAAAGCCAGTCAACTCGAGTGCAAAAATTTATAAACCAAAATGGTGGAATTTCGTTAAAGCCAGAAAACTTTGAGGTGATTTGTTATGTCACAAACACCTTCCTACCATTTTCCAAGTGGAATCCAGAAAATTGGTGACTCTTATCAACAAAAGCCATTTCACCTGAAAACTCTTACCTAATGAGGTAATGTTTCACATTTTCGTCTCCCCCACAAAACATTCATTTTATCCCTTTCTCCTTTCCCTTCCCTCTTAACCTCAGAGTCCTCAGGATATTTATTAATGTCTACTAGATTTTGAAAGTGTTTTACGTTATTGAATTATTTGCTATGTAAATGTCCAATATTTGCTTGTATTATTCTAACTCACTTTACTGTATACGATTCTCTCAAATTTCCTCCATTTTGTAGAAAATGGCTGCATTTCATCTTTTCTTATGGCTATATGATTCTCTATGGTCTGTACATATATTTTCTTGATCCAATTATTTGCTGATAGACACTCAGAATGCTTCTATGTCATAGCAATTGTAAATAATGCTGTGTGAACACTGTGGAACACATGGAGGATTTTGTTGATGGTTTCATAGTCTGTAGATACATACCCAAAAATGGGATAGAAGGGCCATACAATATTACCATTTTTAGTTTTTTAAGGTAAATCCAGATTGTTTTCCATATTGGTTGCACCCGTTCACATTCCCACCAACAGAGTATTAGGGTTCCTTTTTCTCCACATCCTTGCTAACATTTGTTGTTGTGGTTCTTTTAAATGTGTGTCATTTTCACAGGTGTGAAACAGTACCTTACTGTATTGATAGTTTCAATTTGCATCTCTCTTAATAGAAGAGACATTTTTTTACATGTCTTTTGTTTTTCTGGATATCCTCTGGTGAATTATCTCTTCATATCTACTGACCACTTACTCATTTGGGGTTTTTTTGATCATGAATTGTATGAGTTTTTTATATATGTTATCTATTAAACCCTTATCAGTTATATAGTATGCAAATATTTTCACCCATCCAACAGGGTGGCTATTAAATTGTCTTTTTTTTTTTTTCACGGTACAGTAGCTTTTTAACTTAAGGTAATCCCAATTGTTTATTTTTGCTTTAAATCCCTTGCCACAGGGGTTGAGTCACCAAAAATACCCTTATTGACTATAGTAACAATATTTTCCTCTATGCATTTAATTGTTTTGATTTTATATCTAAATCTTTAATCCACTTGGAGTTTATTTTTGAGTATGATGTTCGTGAGCAATCCAACTGCAAACTTTCATGTGTGTCTTTCCAATTTTCCCAGAACCATTTATTTATTTATTAAGATTTATTTATTTATTTATTTATTTATTTATTTATTTATTTATTTATTTATACAAGCACTGGGTACAGTCAAAAGTGCAGGAGGGTGAGAGAATTCACCAGAGCCAAAGCGGGGAACAGAATAGGCAGACTGACGAAATACACTGTTGAGGGGAGCAGTGGGCGCTGTAGGAGAGGTCTGCACGCCATGTAGGACCCTCGCCGGTGGCCGGGGATCAAACCGGCTCTGCAGAGGCTGCGGGCAGCTTCGCAGCCCAGTTCTCAACCACTGTGCCACCAGGGGAGGGCCAGAACCATCTATTAAAGAGCCTGTCTTTTCCCATTTTGTGGCCATAGCTGTTTTAAGTGCTGGTATGTATATGGTTTTATTTCTGGGTGTTTGACTGTTCCATTGATTTGTGTATCTATTTTTGGATCAATACCATGTCGTTTTAATACTGTTGCTTTATAGTAAAATCTGAAGTCAAGTAACTTGACGCCTCCATTTCTATTCTTTTTTTTTAGGGTTGCTTTTGCAATCCGACGTCTTGTATGGTTCCATATATATCTGATTAACAAAAATATTGCTGGGGGCCCCCCTGGTGGCGCAAGAGGGTAAGATGCAGCCTATGAAGCTGTCCGCAGCTACTGCAGCATGAGTTCAATCCCCGGCCAGGGAGATACCCACATGGCGCAGCAGACCTCTCCTGGCTCACCCGCTGCTCCCCTCAGCAGTGTATTTCGGTCAGTCTGCCTGTTGTGTTCCCCACTCTGTCTCTGATGAATCCTCTCACCCTCTACACCTCTGGCCTATATCCCAGATCTTGTATACATAAATAAATCTTAAAAAGAAAAAAAAAAGAAAAATATTGCTGGTATTTTGATAAAGACTGCATTAAATTTGTGTATCATTTTAGGTAGGATAGTCATTTTGGGTATTCCCCAACAATGAGCATGAGCTATCCTTCCATCTCCATATGTTATTATCAACTCCTTTCATAACATCTTGTGTTCTCGCTGTATACAGCCTTATTATCTATTATATTTATTGCTTCTTTCTGAAGCAATTATAAATGGAGTTACTGTCTTAATTTCTTTTACTTCCTGTTGTCATTTATCCATAAAAAGACTGAAATTTATATGCTCACTTTGTAACCTGGTACTTTGTTATATTTGTGTATTGTTTCTAATGATTTTTTGATATTTTGCTTTTAAATTTTTTGATAGTGTATTATCAAAAAATCATCTACAAATAATACTATATCAACTGTAAAAAGTAATGGCTTCACTTCTTTTCATACTTAGATCCCCTTTACTTTCTGTGTTTATCTGGCAGCTTTGGCCAAAACCTCTTAAATAGAAGTGGTGGAAATGAGCTACCTTGTCTTGTCTGAACAAAGGAGAAAGTTTTTAGCTTTTCACCATTAAGTAGTATATTGGCTGCTGGTTTGTGGTATATGGTCTTTATTATATTGAGGTAGATTTCTTCTATTCCCATGCTGTTTAAAGTGTTCATCATAAATGGGTGCTGAATCTTATCCAATGCTTACTCTACATCTATTACTATCATTTTTACCTTCAACTTCTGTTGACGTTAATTGATATACACATATTAAGCCCCTTTAAGTCTACTTTTTTCTTATAGTTGATTTCTAATTTTATAGCATTATAGTCAGAAAAAGTGCTAGGTCCAATTTTGATATTTGTATTTTATTGACTATTGACTGGTATTACAAGATATGGTCTATTCTTGAAAATGCTCCATGTGGACTTGAAAAAGAAGTGCCTACAAGTTTTGGGGTCAGGTGTTCTGTAGCTGTCTCTTAGGCCTATTTGGCCTATTTTCCTCATATAGTGATTGTTTTCTTATTTATGCTTACTCTTACTGATCTGTCCATTGCTGTAAGTGGGATACAAAGTCCCGTAGTATTATTGAGCTATTATCAGTATCTCTCTTATGTTCTATTATTGTCTTATGTCTCTCAGTGCTCCATCTTTCATTGCATATATGTTTATGAGTGTTATTTAACCTTGTTGCATTAGATCATTTTTTTCTAAAGATTTATTTATTTATGCATATAAGAGCTGAGTACAGGCCAGAGATGTAGGCGGGTAAGAGGATTCACCAAAGAATAGGCAGACTGACTGAAATACACTGCTGAGGGGAGCAGTGGGTGAGACAGGAGAGGTCTGCTTTGCTATGTGGGTTCCTCCCTGGCCAGCCGGGGATCAAACTCGTGCTGCAGAGGCTGCTGATTGCATCATAGTACAGTGCTGAACCCCTTGTGCCACCAGGGAGGCTTTGTATTAGATCATTAATCATAACATTGCATCTGTCCCCATCTCTTATTACCTTTCTTAATGGGAAATCTATTTTATCAGACATAAGCACAGTTAATCCTGACTTTTATCCCTCTGTAATAAGCTAAAGAGAAAGAAATAACATTCATATCACAGGCAGCCTAGAAGAAGAGGAAGAGAAAGGTATATAAAACTTATTTAAAGAGGGCTTCCCTGATGGCACAAGGGGTTAAGTCCCAGCACCATGAAGCTATCAGTAACCACTGTAGCATGAGTTCGATCCCTGGCCAGG